GGCTGGAAGGCACCCCAAAGATCAACCCCTCTGCCGAGGGCAGGGACACTTCCCACTGCACCAGGGCTGCTCAGTGCTCCATCCAACCTGGCCTAACAGCCAGGGATACATCCTGAAAGTGGGAAACATGCAGCTCTGCAAAGAGGTTGCCCCTGCAGTCACGTTTTCAGACCTCGCAGCTCGCCCTGGGCCCCACGGGCTGTGTCACGCGTGGGGTGTTGGAGGAAACCCCAAGCAGGGACAAGGCAGTCCCACTCGCTCTGGCAGCAGCACAGGCAGCAGCATGTCTGCTGAAGTCACACTCGAGCAGTATTTTTAACGTGGCTTGAAAGAACTGCCAGCTCCTCTGCTGCTGAAAATGGGGCTATTTTTAGCAATTAGCTGTATTCAAATGTTCCTTGCACGATCTGCACAGGCAGTAAGTGGTTTAGTAGATTACCAGATATTCCCCTAGATAAAAGGAGTGTTTGCTGTGTTTAAAAAGAAAAAAAAAAGTTAACTCAGATGGAAATCTTCACAGTACCAATTCACACTGAGGCAGAGCTGGGAAAGGGATATAACCCTGGGGATTCCTGTTAACATTTGTGTGCCCCCCTTCTGAGAAAAACTTGACTATTCAGCTACGCTGCCTGGTTCCTGGTAGTGCTTTGCATCACTATAGCTTCTTCCAGCTCACAATCTCAGACCTTTCCCTCAACCACGTGGAGGTGGACAAGATAATCGGTAGGTGAGTGGGATCTATTCCCATCTGGCAAACTCTTGCTGTTGAATGTAGTCCTCAAAAAAATCCTTTTGAGTTTTCTGGCATGTGGCAGTCTGTGCCTTCCTATAAACTGTATTGTGATGTTAATAATAACCCTAATAGTGGTTAAGAATAACGTTTCTCAAACAGGTCTTGCATCAGCCATCAGGCTGCCATGGGGTGGCAGGAGATGGCTAAAATCTGGAGATTACATGGACTGTGATGGAATAGGAACAGTGCCTCAGATGGCCCTGATTCTGCAAAAACTGGAATTGCTTTTTCTCAAAGCATATGCTTACACTTGAAGTCTGCAGTCGAGGAGTTTAAGCAGAGACACAAAATTAAACAAGTGTTTAACAGATTTGTTATCATTTTAAGTCCTCTGTTTCAGAGGGCCTGGCATTCAGCACTGCAATGCAATTTTAATGCCTCTTGTTTGATCTGTAAAGTTGGAGGATTATTTAGCTGGGGAAAAATGTAAAACATTGATTGCATGTATTTGGCAGCTTTCCCTGACTTTGGACAGGGGAGAGCCACAGGCCTGCCAGCTTCAGCCTTTCTTTGAGTGGAGCAACAGAATGCTGGAGGTAGCAGGTGCTGGAGGCAGCTCTCCCATCACTTGGAGTCTTTCAGGAAGGACTGGATGGAAAAAGCTCCTCTCAGTTATGAAATCACCTGTGGAATAGGTTAGCAGAGCTACCCCAAGACAAATCCTTTCTTCTGAAGGGCAGGAAAGGGAGGCATATTCTGCCTTTTATTTCTCCTATGAGAATCTCTGTGAGTCAAGATTTCCTTTGCAAGCCAGTATGGAAACTTTACTGCCTGACATTAAATATTCTTTTTAAAGCTGTGCTGAACTGAAAAAAAAAGAAAAAAAAAAGTTAATTAGAGCTTCTTGCAAAGGAAATAAAAATGTATATTAGTTAAAGTAGTGACATTTCCTTTTGATAGAAAGCTGGTGTTTCCAAGAGTCTGAGATAAAGGCTAATAGGCAGGCTAATCAAAGAACACAGGAACAAGTCCTTATGCAACACCTCTCCCGTCTGTTCAATACAAATCCATTTGATCTTTACCATTAAGCAATGGAATTTAGCTTCATATCACAAAAAAAAGAATATTAGAGAGTAGAAGAGAAGAATTGTGTCTGGGCCACAGGCTTTCTGTCTGGGCTCACAGGCATCTTTCTCCACAGTCAAGTTGCAGTGAGATGTGGAGGTTGTTTTGACCTGCTGTAAAACCAGCCATGAATGTGGGTCTCAGATCTTGAGGATCTCTCAGATCCTCAAGGAAGTACCAGAGCCTGAGCCCCAGACTCTCAAATTTATGTCTAGGATGTGGGGAAGTGCTACTCTGCAGCCCAGCCCTGGATCTTACATTGTCCTTCATAGCATGTGGGTCTCAGATCTTGAGGATCTCTCAGATCCTCAAGGAAGTAAGAGAGCCTGAGCCCCAGACTCAATTTATGTCTAGGATGTGGGGAAATGCTACTCTGCAGGCCAGCCCTGGATCTTACACTGTCCTTCATAGTTCTCTTTTTTCTGTTTCTCTTCTGTTCCTTTTCACCCTCCTCCTATTTATCCTCTTTCTTATCTGCTGATATATTTCTCTGTAGCCTCTTGCTCTTCATATTACCAACACCAAAACCGCTGCTTCTAAAAGCCAGATGTGATCATTTTTTACTCCCAAAAGCATTGCATCTGCCATGGGAGGAATGCTGTACTAGAACTCAGTTTTCTGGACAAGATTCACCAGCTGGAGAAGTAGGAGCTCTTGTTTTGATGCAACCAGTGGTGCTCTGATTACCCACAGAGCACAGCATCCATAGGTAGAGTGTGAAAAATGTGTATTTTATGATTGGCTTCTCGCAAATATTAAAATGAATATTATATGTGTTATGTTAGAAAGTTGTACTGTATTAATTTTCTTGAGTACTGTGTTAAATATAGTTTTAGATTATAACATAATGTTAAAATAGAAACTATGCTATGTAAGATACTTTTTAACTAGCTCAAGAAAGAGATGAGATAATCAAGAAATTCTTCTCACAGAGATAACAGCAACAAGACACTGAGATCCCAAAGAGAAGAATTTTTACCTCCTAATCATGAAGAACTACTCTCCTTGCAGGCTCCATGGAGTCTGACCATGATTTACAAGATGAAGGGGGGGAAGTTCACAATAACCAGAAAACACCTTCTGTTTGAAAAGAATTTTTGAATCATGTATGAAATATATGAATATGCAACAGGCTATTGCTTTTAAAGGTTAATTCTTTGTCTTGAAAGTGACCCATGCTTTCAAGAGGAAAGCACTGAACGTTTGTAATTCTTTGCTTTTTTATTGTTCTTTATTGTCCAACCTCTGATTGTCCAAATTCTTATTGCTCTAATTTGTATTACTCTTTTCATAGCCATTTTATTACTGTTAAACTTTTAAATTTTTAAAACAAGTGATTGGCATCTTTCACAAGAGCATCAGGGCAGGGGTCAGGCTCAGAGGGCAGAACCATGCTTTCTGCAAGTGTGGGGATTTTTTTGTAAATTGTTAAAAGATTAGAGTTCTGCTGCTTGTAAAGCAAGCTGAAGAAGCTGCTTTCAACGGGCTTTCCTCCTCACCCAAGAAGGAGATGTCCAAAGAAGCATTTGGAAACTTCTAGGGTTGTATCAGGCAGTCCAGTTCCTTCACAGAATGCTGCTCTGATTCTGAGTTCAGGCAATTTCTGTTTCAAATACCCGGTGGATTTTCTTTTCTAATTACACTAATTAGCCTCAATCGAGAATAAAGAATCTGATGCTTCATCTCTGGCACTGCATGTTCCTTGACAGAAAAGAGACAAGCTGGTGTTTGTGTCTTTCCCCATGAGGAAGAAAAGTTTGAGCAGGTTTTGAAGCCCAGAGTGAAAATAGGTTTTGCCGCAAAAGTCACTGGAAGTCAGAAAGCCATCCAGAACAGCTGAGGCCACCAGGCAGGGAACTGAAGGGAAATGGTTGCAATTTCAGCTTCCCTTCAGGAAAGCACAATGCCACCTTTGTGCAAGGGCTTTCTGGTTTCAGCTACAAAAAGGGATGGGGTGAAGCTCTTTGCACACATCTTTGTCAGACTCCTCCACAGTGCACATGCTGAGCTTTAAAACTGAGGCATCCACCCCTGCTTCATTCACTGAGCCTGCTAGACATTTTGCCAGGCACATTAGTGTGAAGAGGATCTCATGTTGGTTCTCTTTCCTAAAAACTGATATTACAAAATGATGGACAGCCTCAAATTCCATTAAGCTCAATGCATGTGCTCAGCTACTGATAGGATTTGATCTCTAGGCTTATATGTAGTTTATGTCTCTTTCTCCTTGGTGGCATATCTAATGCCATATTACTCCCTCGGTTCTTCAGCAGTAACACAAAAATTGCTACTCCATAAAAAAAAAAAAAAAAAAAAAAAAAAAAAAAAAAGTGGAAATTATTGCTTTTTTTTCCATGTGCTGCTAAGAGGCTTCATAACAGACTGGGGTGAATGGAAAGGGACCACTGCTGGCCTCTGCTCAAATCTAGTCCAGCAATAATAGCAGAATGCTTAGGGCCTCATTCAGCTGAATTTTGAATTATCTCCAAGGATGGAGATCCCACAGCCTCTCTGTTCAATTACTTCATCACACTCATGATAATCCTTTTTTCCTCCTATCAAAACCACAACCTCTTTTCAGTTTCAAATCTACCACCACTCATCCTTCTGCTGTACACCTGTCCAAAGGGTCTGGCTCCATCTTCTCTAAACACTCCCAATTAACAGAGTTTGTGCCACATGAAGAAAAAAAGATGGGCAGAGTAGCAGGATGCATATCCAGACTGAGACTTCAGATATTATGACTCCAGCTGAGTGAGTCTGAGCTACTGGCTCGGATCATTGGTTCACTGAGGATTAAAAATGTACAAGAATCATGTTTGATCTGAGAGTCAAACATGGCTTTGCACAGATCAATGAATTCAGACCAGATTTGTCACTGGGAGGAGCCAAAGGAAAACCTCTCCAAACAGATTTCCAAATCAATTGTCCTAATTTCTTTTGAAAAACCCTGTAAGTGCCCCAACACTTTGTGGTGGGCATGACTGAGATGTCCCTTTGTCCTTCCAGGTGGATTTGATATGTGATGTTAAGTGCTGATCTCCTCAGGAATGCAGATCCCTTTAGAACTGGCAGGTGTGAGAAGTCACAGCCAAATGCAGAGTCAAAGGCTGCAGTTCTGTCACTGTGCTCAGCCTCCAAGGGCAGCTCTGAACTTGGCTGCCTGCACTGGTCACCTGATGGCAATGGCAGCAGTGTGGGATCATGAGAGTGGTGTCCATGAAACAGGAACCCTCGAGGAGCTGTGAGTAAGGGGTCTCCTGGGAGCTGTACTCTCCAGCATCTGAAGAGCTGTGGCCAGTCTGCTCTCCTGCTGAAGCTCACACTTTCGGGTGCTGGAGTTACCTTGATAAATGGTGTGTAATGCACAGCTAGGAAGGAAGTACGTGCTGGGTGCCAGGTTTAAGGATCCTACAGGCTTGTTAAGTGCATGTTTGACTCTAGACAGGCATAGCAGACTCGTGCACTTGAGCAAGCTCAGAAACACTGCTGCATCAGGACTAGGGCCTGTTTCAGCAGCTGAAAGCTCAGTCAGGGCTTTCCTGACACCGCAGAAGCTCTGACCTCTGAGGCGTCAGGAGGCCAAAAATTGAGAAGCATTATGAGAGATATGCCATATGAAAGCTGGTAGAAACCAAAGTGCTGCTGAACGTTTATTTTCCTTTTTTCTTCTTTGTCCTGAGAAGCATACAGTGTCACACTCTGGCATATTTTGATTCCTGGGGATGTAAATAGAAATATGATTCATGATAACTCATTAACACTAGTTGCAGAACAATTAAGCTAAACAGTATTTTCCTTTGGGAGAACAACTATTTCATGTCCTAGTTAATTGATTTTGATATGCTTTCTTGGCTAGGAAATGCAAGTTCCTTGATCCACATTCCCTGCTGGTTTTGGTCACTGAATTCTTGATGTTTGAAAAGGAGATAATGAAAGTTATCATATCCCATTTTTTCCTAGAGACTCTCAGTTCAGTGGGGGGTCTGAGCATTTCTTGCCATCAGCAGTAATGATGACAGATCTCACTTAATGAGCAGCCACTGAGATAGGCACGCACAGAACAACAAATTAGCAGCTACACTTGCAGCCTTGATAGAAGGAAGACCACAGGACTCCAGGATGTCTCCCAGAGGTCATTGATTTGCTGTTTCTTCAGTGAAATTGATGATTACTGGTCCCTGCAGTTAGCTGACACTGTAAAGGAGGACAGCTCTTTCCAAAAGTGGTTTGTGAAATGTAACTGTAGACCGTGGGATCAGCAGAGGAGGCTGAGAATAGCAATGAGGCCTCTGCCAAAGCTGACCCCGGGGCAGGAGTGAGTTAGAATAACTAACTCCCATATTCAGGCAGAGCTAAATGATGGATGAGACAGTACCTGTAGACAAGACCTGCTGAGCAAACGTTGGGAAATGCCAAAGGTGGTTTCTCTGAAGCAGCAAGCAGCACATCAAGGAGGGCAAGAGCTGCTTGCCCTCTGCACCATAGCCAGCAGTGCTGGGGGAACTCAGGGGCATTTAAGCTCCCTGTAGGTAATTAAAAGTCGGTTGTATCTAAAAAAAAATTAGCTGCCAATTGGATGTGTGCCAAGCCCTCCCCAGGTGGGTGCCGGGTCTCCCAGAGGCAGGGACCTTCCTGCTCTCAGCACCCCCAGCACAGCAGCTCTGCCTGCCTGCGACCTCAGCAAAGAGGTGCATCCCCTCCTACCCCCTCCAAGAGCTCAGAAATAAGGTGTATAAGTGGCAATACTGGCCTTGTACTGCCCTTGTGCAGTTTTATTCTGGGTGAAAAGAGGACTCCGGTTTCCAGCACTGCTAATCCTCTGTAAAGTTCACTTGGTGGCTGCAGAGATTGCTGCGGCTTTACTGAAAACAAACATCTTCCTCTGAAATGTGTTGCCTTTGGCCAGGCTGATGTGTTTATCAAGCAGTCACTTTTATCATTGTTTGCTTTATTTTATGCTATCTGTTACCAGTGCCCTGTGTGCTTTTGCTCTGTGGTGTGTTTTATGTACAGTTTGTCTACAAACAGTGCAAATAAAGTTGGTCTGATTGTAGCTGGTTTGCTCTAATTGGGGCAGCGCTGGAGCATGAGTCCTCAGTGGTGACATTGTTCTCCAGGATGAGGGGAGCAGACTCAGGGCTCCTGGGCTCTGCTGCCAGCCTTCCCTCTCTGTGCCATCCATTGTGTAAAGAGGTCTTCAGAATTAGAAACCTGAATAAATGAAAGCTACCTGGACTGGGGACTGAGTATTTTGCATATTTGTGAATGCATCAGATGCACTTAGAAAGTGTATTTTTATTACGAGAAAGAAACCAATGATCATTTAATTAGGATATCCCCTAGCAGTAATTAGTCACAAAGGACAACTAAGATTCCCTGTCATGAATATACAATTCAAAAGAAGACTGCAAATATCAAATCCACACTCAAAGATGCTTCTTATAGTGAAGCTGTGTGATTGCAATAGAGCTGAGAAATACTTCAGAAAGCAAATTTTATTAGATAAGTGGTCAGTGCTCCTCTTTATGGCATTTACAAGCAGTTCAGAGTTTTCTGAAAGCAATGGGTTACAGAGGGGCTAGAATGACTTTTTTTGCAAGTTATGACTCAGGTAGAAATATTTAGCACTTCCAAATGTTGTAACCACTGCTGAGCTCTTAGCTAAACCCAGGGGTCTATAGGCAAGTAGTGCCATGCAGATTTTTGGCAATTGAGGAGAGAGGGCATTCACAGCTTCTGGGACACATTTCTGTCTGGAGGCAACTGAGAATGAGAGAGAGCCTCTAAGGAGAGTGATGATGACAGCTCTGCCTGGTGTAACAGGAAACCTTCTCATCAAGAGGCAAGGGAGATGAATTATGGGGTAGTGTAGCCTCCACTGTCACCACTCATTTGTTGCACTTAATGAATTACTGGAATCAGTCACATAATGGATGCTCAAAGACCAGAAAAAACATCCTGCTGCTCACCTGGGCAGAGCTGCAGAGGACCCAAACAAATGCCTCAGGCCTTTGCCTGACAAAAGGAGCCAGTGTGGGTACAAGCAAAGTAAAGTCTGCTTTCAGCTGCACTGGGAAAGCAAAGTCTCAGCTGTGTGTGTCCATCAACATCAGGAGGGATCTAGATTTTGGATAAATTATGGGAACTAGTTGGTCACTAATTGGACATGTTTCAATTCCCTGTGCAGTTTCACTGCTCTTTAACAGAATGCTGTAAGAAATCCCCATTTCAAAGGTGGATTTGTTTCAGAGACTGTGGTATCTCTGCAAAGAACCTGTGCAGCCTCAATCTACCACAGAGCACTCACAGGACTGCAGAAATGTAATTTTCTTCTTTAACAAAATAGGACAATGCTACTGAGAGTTTCATTGGCTACTCTGCCCCTTTTAGCCCTCTGGCTCTTCTGTTTTGCTTTACTTTATTCACTTTCAAGGACCCAAACTGGGAACCATGTGCAGACTCTCCAGCTGCCCAATTGCTCTCTTATGGTGCCCAATATGTATTTTGGCAGCTCTTCTGGGCCAGAGGATGCCCAGACTGATGGCACAGGTAGGGAAGGTATCTGCCATGCCAGGGATGTGGCCATCTGCCCTGGGGTGCTCTCACAGCTTGGCTTTGAGCCTGTGTGGAGACAACACGTATCTGGGATTACAACTTCAGATGGGGAAGCTGCCATCCTTAATTAAACTCCTCCATAAGGCTGTAGTTTGGCATTGGCACACACAGATCTCTGAGCATGAACTTTCCAAATCTCTCTCCTTGTTTCTGCTCTTGAACATTTTCAGTGCTGCAGCTGGTGCCTCCTTCCTTTGGCAGCAGAGCCTGTTACGAGTGGCATCCACTCAGGCAGGATGTTAACAGCCCCACTGCTCTGCAGAGGGGAAAGATGGTGCTTGGGAACACAGGTGGGAGAACAAGCTGATGGGCAGCAGCCACACAAAAAAGGTAGCCAGGTAGCCCAGGAGGGGCTTTGCCATCATTTCTCACAAACTCTGCCAAAGGCTGACTGAAAAGCTGTGGGATTAGCTCAGGGTTTTGGAGACTGCTTTTTCCTTGGGTGTGATTTCTCATTCTTGTTGGCAGGTAGCAGAAATCAAGAATGGACTGCAGCTGCCCATGTATCAAGTGCTCCTCTGTCTCCAGCTCCCTGGGCTGAATATTTCAAGGGAAGGAACCATGACTGAAGATCATCTCTTCCCCAAGTTATGTCTCCTCACTGTCACCATAAATTAGGTATGGACTTTATCTCCAAAGCTCACTATTTTATGTCCCTTTTAACATTTGCAATTAGGAGAACTCTAAACAATTCCTTTCAGCATTACTTTGCCACAACATCTGTCTTTGGCTGTAGGCTCTAGTTTAATTAACTTGCCATGAGAACAAATCTCCTTTTACCCTTTTTTAATTTCCCACTCTCTAATTTCATTGCATAGTGATTTGTGTCTCAGTTGCCACATGGGGACAGTAAAACAGGGATAATGGCACAGTCTTTCCTATGTGGGGATAATGTCAGGGTGAATAACCTCAAAGCCTGGCAAGCTCCCAGGTACTAACTGTGGCAAGTACTGTGGCTGCCTTGGCTCTGACACTGGCTCTGGAATATTATCTTCCCCAGATTCAGGATATGTAGTCACACCACTGAATTTACTGAGAGAAAGCTACTCAGTCATGTTCTCAGGCAATCTTAAATACAGTTTCTCCTCTATCAACCCCTCCTCTTTCTACATGTACTTTCCTGGGCATGTGGAAAGCTGAAAAAGCAGGTTTATTTGAGGGACTTTTCTAAAGGAGAGGGGAACTGTGGCAGTCATATTTTCTGGAAAAATCCCCTTGCCCAGGATTCTTCTCCTGGGAAACTGAGAAGCCTCAGAGAAAAAGGAAAACAATATTATCTCATTTCCTTCTTCTGTGTTTTGCAGCTTTGGAATGTGGTTGGAGATTGTTTACCCAGAGGTGATTGTTTCATTGGTTTCTGCTGTGAGTTGTTTTGACTTTATGGCCAACTGGGGCCAGGCTTTGTAGGACCCTGGAGGGAGTCATGAGATTCATTAGTATCTTTTAGCCTTATGTCTGTATCCTTTCTGTATTATTTCATATAGTTTAATATTCTTTAATATAATATAGATCATAAAATAATAAATTAACCTTCTAAGAACACGGAGTTAGATCCATCATTCCTTCCTTCATCTGGGAACCCTGCAAACACAAGAAGGAACCATCAGAGCTGCTTCACACAGACCTCTGTGCTGGTCTGCAATGCAAAATTATTTAGGGGGACTGAGAAGGAGGCCAGCTCTGGGCACTTGTGCTTTGCAGGAGGAACACTCTAAATTCAGCCAAAGACATTGCATATGTTAATGATCACCCAGGAGAGAGCAACCACGGGAAGATATTAAGCTATTCAAAACATATTTTAGAACGCCCAGATAGGATGAAAAGCCCTTTGATTTATTCCATGGAAAGAAAAGACAGTAGGATGCTCATTTAGATGGGGGGTGCACAATCTCACATCCCTTTCCCACTGGGGTAGTCTCGGGATGCCAGTGGGATGATCACTTGCATAAGCAAGAAGGCACAGCTGAGCCACAGCAGTGGTTGCCTGCAGCCTCCTGCATGGATGCAAACAGGGTCATCCCAGCCACAATGGTTATGTGCAGTGGCAGGAAAAAGTGGGTCATCAATGCAGAAAGGATAACCTAGCACTGAAGGGGTTTTTGTTACAAAACTCTCGAGCTATCAGATATCAAAGACCAGATAATATAAAGTCTCCTGCAGCAACAACTCCAGGCTTGAGCAAGAACAGTTCTGACTCCCCCACAGGCTGTAAGCGATCGTGTTCCCTGTATATGTCCAACACTTTCTCACCCTTTGTGAGATGCTTAGCAGGGTGGAAATCTTGCAGGGAGATATCTCAAGCATGTGTCAGAAATGGAGCCCAAAGCAAGACAGTCTGGAAGATTTAGTGCTCAGGGTTCTGTCAGCACAATCTGAGGGGAAGCATTTGGTCCTGTGACACTGAAGAGATAACTGATGTCTTCCTGGTACCAGAGTTTGACCTACTTCCCTCTGCCTTTCAGAGGAATCCAATGCAAAATGACCCAGAAAAGAAAATGTAATTCTTTGTGGTGCCCTGAAGTCACAAGCCAGGCACCTGAATCCTTGACACTGAATTTCACAGTCTGAGACACCCAAAACTGCCAGAGCTGGGGTTTCTTGGGCCATTATTTTCTTCTTTACCATTTCTGTGCAGTCTGCCTCTGGAGAACAGAAAATGCTGGGGGCACCCTAGAGGTGAGATTGCAGAAATGGAGGCTTTAAGAAAATTCCAAATATCCTGACATTTATGATGAAGCCTGCAAAGCAGACCTTTTGATTACACCCCCTTCCTCACCTCGGCTCCTGTCCGCAGCACGACGAGCTGTGGGAGCCCATGGGCATGTGTGAGATATGGGTTGGTTTTCCTGGGAAGTGCTGCTCTGTAAGCACCAGCAGCCAGTTTGGCATCTCAGTGTCAGTATAGGGAGATAATCAAAACATCTCTGAGGATAATTGTGGCATTCACATGATCTGAAAAAATTCCTTCGCCCAGGATTTTTCTCCTGGGAAGCTGAGAGGCCTCAGAGAAAAAGGAAAACAATTCTTATCTCTTTTGCTTCTCCTGTGTTGTGCTCATGTGTGGAATGTATTTAGAGATTGTTTACCCACAGGTGATTGTTTCACTGGATTCTGCTGTGAGTTGTTTTCACTCATTGGCCAATCAGGGCCAAGATGTGTTGAGACTCTGGAAAGGGTCACAAGTTTCATTAGTATCTTTTTTAGCACTGAGTAAGTATCCTTTCTGTATTCTTTAGTATAGCATAGTCATTTTTAATATAATATAATATCATCAAGTAATAAATTAGCCTTCTGAGAACATGAGTCAGATGCATCATTCCTGCCTTCATTGGGACATTCCCAGCAAACACAATAGATAACCACGAGTTCTCCTTAGGTAACAGAGAGGAAAAACAAACCATTGGTCTCACACGTTGGAGCAGCACTCATCATCCAACAGGATCCCAGAAGTCATCAGTCCACTGAGACGGGAATACTGTTAGAAAGGGATGTGAGGGATCACAAAGATCTTTCTCTCTTTAAATGCCCTTGCTCTTGCTGCATGCAGGCTCTGGTAAACCCCAGCAGCTAAATATGAGGGCTTTGGAAGAACTGGATTTCCTGAAAGGGATGATGATTCCCCAGAAAATTTGCCTTGCAGATGCCACTTCTCTCAGCTGCTGCCAAAGCACTCCCTGTTTTGTAACAAAACTTGGTGTCCTCAGTGCTGTTTGTGTTAGCACTGACTCACTGGTCCCCCACTGCCCCGGGACACAGGAAGGGATGCGCTGTGATCCACGTGTCACACTTGGGAAGGCAGAGCAAGGCAGCTCTGTTGAGATCAATACATTTATGGGACTAACATGATCTGGCAACTCTTGACACCACAAATCAGATGACACTTAGCCTGCAGAGGAATTGCACTGCAATAAGAACCATAACAATGTAATTCCTGCTATTTAGACGTTCCTGTTTCGAAGCAACACACTGGTTGTAGCCAGACAAACTCCTGTGGAATTCTCAAAGTAAGGCTGAAAGGGTTAAGTGCCCAGAGCTTTGTGCCTGGTCCTTTCAAGCAGAACCACCTACCCCTTTCAAAAAAGAAAATCCACTAAACTCCATTTGAACTAGTGTTAATGTAGTATTCATAACTGGAAAAAAAAGGTTAAAGCTTAGAACAGCCATTTGTTACAGCCACTTTCTTTGCTTGTTTTCATGCTTGCAGGCCTGTGAATGTCTGTGCACAGCTCTTCATGACACCTTACAGATCCTCTGCAAGTGTCTAGGCTGCAAGATGCAGAGCAGCATTTTGGTGTTTGGGCTGCCTTTCTTAGGAGTGAAAGTGGCCCCAGCCAGAGGAAACACCACCAAGCAGTCATTGCTCTTTTGCTCAAACACTATAAATAAATAAGATATAAACAAAAGAGCTTTTTTCAGAGAAACTGGACAAATCCTTGGAAGAAAAATTCCTCCCAGGATAATGGCATGCAGGAAATCCTAAGCCACAAATCTTCTGAGGCTGGGAAATATTTGTAAGATCAACTAGTGGTTGTTTGGCCTTTCTTATGTCAGCTCCTCACAGAGGCAGGATCAGGGTTTAAACAGGCCATTGACTTCACTTAGGAAAACTCTTCCCAGTCAACCCTTAGCTGTTTATTTGCTTTCCTCCTGGATGCCCTGGGATGGAGCAGGATGGCAGCAGTTCTGCTGAACGGGGTGAATGGCACTCCACACCTCTCTGCTGGTCACCTTCCAACAGGGAAAACCCCTTGGCAAACATGCCAGGCAGAGTGAGGGGCAGCCCACCAGGTCATGTAGATGAATGGGATGGTAGAAGCAGGCGACCCCCTGGCACTGGGAATGATGTGCTCTGACTCCATGATTCAGAACAATTGCTTTATTAAGCTACATTATATTGCACTAATAATATATTAAATTTCATTCTAAAGAGATACTATACTAAAGAATATTATACTATACTAAAGGAAAACTCAGGACTGTCTGAGACAGCCAGGACACAGCTTTGAGTGATTGGCTAATCACTCAAAACAACTTTCACCAGTGTCCAATTAACAAACCACTTTTGGTAAACAATCTCCATAACACATTCCACAGGTGCAAAACAACAGCAGCAGTGAATAGAGATAAGCGTTGCTTTCTCTTCTGTCTGTACTTCTCCAGGAAAAATCCAGTGAGAGAATTATGTCTCTCTCTGTTCAGAGAATGTGAATGCCACAGAATGGGGATTTCTCCCCATTTTTCCCCAGGGTGGGACCAAACGCACTGATTTGCCTCTGAAGCGCTGGTGTCTGTGCCAAGAGCTCCTGGAAGGAGTGATGAGCGAGAGCAGATTCCGGCTGTGTGCTCGCAGCACCATCTAGTGCTGGGCAGAGATTTCTTTTCCTCCTTCCCCAAACCCTCAGCGATGTGCCCGGGATACAGCGGTGTATCCTGTCCTGCCGGGCACACCGATAGTGCCAGGCCGGTGTGGGGCTCGCTGTGAAGGCACACCCCGCAGAGCAGGCTGTGACAGCCCGGAGAAGGGCAGCGCAGGGCAGGAGGGGGGTCAGCATCCCGGGATTGCTGCGATGCTGCTGTGCACCTCCGAGTGACACCTGCGAGCCCACCCGGGGCTGCACATCCTGCCTTAGCTGAACCCTAATTTCAGAATCTCTATAAAATTAATGACAAATACTCGGCAAGGGTTTGGAGCAACTTCAGCGCTCTTCTCTTCCTTTTTCCAGGGAAGCTGCAGAGCCAATGCCCTCTGCTGATAGTAGAGGATAATTATCTACTGTGAGTAGGGAAAAAAAAAATTATTCAGATTTAATTTATCAAATTGCTTTTCTTTGATTTTGTCAGCAGCCCCACTGTTACCCCCAGGGGCTGGAGGAAAGAGAATGACAGAACTGTCAAGATTGGAAGGGACCTTTGGAAATCACCAGTCCAACCCCTGCCCAGGCAGGGTCACCTGGAGCAGGTGACACAGGAGCGGGTTTTGGCTGTCTCTGACCTCCCTCCAGAGCTCTGTCACCCTCACGTGAGGAAGTTCTTCCTCGTGTCGGGGTGGAAATTCTCTTGCTTTAGAAATTCTCGTGGTTTATTACGGCCATCGCTCCTCGCCATGGAGCGCCACCAGAACGCCCGCCTGGAAGTGGCATCACGAGGCCAGTATTTGCCTGCGGGAGAGCTGCTGAGCTCAGGTTCTCCCAAGCCGCAGGAGCCCGCTCTGTGTTCCTCGGCTGCGGGATGGGGTCGCGGGGGTGGCGGCGGAACCGAACCCGGGACTCGAACCCGGGTCCCTCACGGCACAGCACGAGACGCGCCGCCGCGCCCGCCTCCCATTGATACACAGGAGGAACCTCCAGGCTTGCGCAATCGATGCCCGAGCGGCAGATCCGCCCGGCTGACGAGGCGGGGGTGCGCGC